ACCAAGTGGACGAGAATCACACTTGTGATAGATTCGGAACCACTTTGACGCAGCCAGTGCGGATGGTGCTCTTTCATGCGGATCGATAAATGCCGTGCCGTACGACCGACGTACAGTGCATCTGAATGAGTAAACAATCCCCGATCAGCTACAAGAATGTGGTGTACAACACACACACACACACACACAAAGTGATCGATTCCTCCCAACCCCTAGGCTTTGTCTTCTCATATAAAGTGTAACGGCATAATTAAGAGTTATTGAAAATAACTTTTTGTCTGAATTTGTATTCTAAATTATTCAAACGAAAGTAAACTGACATGAGTACTCCGTCAGGGTATACGTTCCACCGTCCGTAAACTCCTCGGTTAGGGGATGAAATTCTAAGCCTATACCTGGATCAATAGTGGGTCGGATATGTGATTCATAGGTGAGCCATCTCAGAGAAATAAACAATCATCAAAATTAGATACTGACGAACTAATTAGTGGTTAGTTTTTCTGATCAACAAACTGTTTGTTTGTTTGATAGTTACTGACAGTAATTGTGATCACTACTCTCCTTTTTCGTAGCTTCCCGGTGATATAACGGTGCATGACTAAAGACAAAGTCCATTTACTAGTTCCGGTATTTTAGCCGGACCCAATTGAATCGGTGGTGTAACGCGGATGATAGTATTCATTCGGCCGACACCTGCAACATCAATTAATCTAAATATCACATGATTATTCTGCAAAAAACAAAGGACTCCCGTTAGCCTCCCAGATCCCAGCAATAAAACTGTCCATACATGTGTGTGTGATTGGCAAGGGGATATGCACACGTTCTGAAAAAGGTTTCTTTGACTATGTTGTTGTGAGTTGGTGACTTGATGCAAACGGGACAATGGGACACGATAGATATTTTGTCAGAATAACTGGTCGCTATACCGAAACCGCACTCAAATAAAAAAAAAAAGATTCTCGTCATACGGATTTGAGATGTGGGCTTATTCACAAGAAATGGATATCGAGCTATCAATTTTCCAAGAAAAATGACCATCAAGCAGGATCCGTATCATGAATGCATAAGATCGGTTGATGTGCAATGACTGATCATTTATAACAGCGATCAAACGATGCAGTTCCACAAACACACACATAGACACACACACAGTGCGGAGAGTCTAACGCCGAAAATCGATTCCTCCCAGATAGAACAATCAGAATGTGCATGTGACTAGGCAATAATCTACTGAAAANACTGAAAAATTCTTGTGATGAAGGGAATTATTCATTCTGCTTTTCCCTCTTTGAAGAGAGACAATTAGAAGGGATAGCAAAGTTGAGCACACTACCCCTTGCTGTATATACAGCAAACGGTTTGTGAGCATGTGATACGAGTTGCGAATGCTTGATGCTTTGTGAAAGAAATCACACCTCTGCTTGCTAATTTGACGTATTCTCCTGAGTTTGTCTCCTGGATTTGTTCAAATTTCTAAAAACAAATTCATCCCATGTCCGTTCATCATACATGGATCTGGTTTATACGGTGAAACTGGAGGCTCACTAAGAAATACTAGCCCACAACGAAAGCTCCGAACCAAAGTGTAAACACCCTATGGGATTTGAAAAGCGAAGTTTTTGTAAGTTTTTCCCATAATACAAATTTGAATTGGAAAAGTAAAAGATGATAGGAGTTTGGATATGAAAGAGGAAGCTGTATCTCACCTGGCGGACGCATCACAAATGAAGTGTCGGTGCGCATAAAAAAGGCTTCATTGGCATTTGACAACATGAGATATCAGTTGTGCCTCCGCAATATCCTGAGAAGGGACAAGCATATGCTACCGCAGTTCGGCCAGTGCTACTTTACGGTGCAGAGACTTGGCTACTGCGGGAACAGGATAAAAAATAGATTGTCGTTGTTCGAACACCGCTGTCTACGTCGCATTGTACCAGTCTGGTGGGGAAACCGGACGAGCAATGCTGTGGTTAGGCTTTGAGTTTTAGATAATCGCGATTGTCCGCTGGAGCAAGGGATCGACCTCCATAGATTACGTTGGTTGGGACATGTGCTGCGCATGTCACCAGATAGGTTGCCATGGCGAGCGATGTCTGTCGAGGCAGGCGGTGGATGGAAAAAGATCAAGGGCGGTCAAACTAAGACCTGGCATGGGAGTATGAAAACCATAACCAGGAAACTAGGTCACATAGGTCCCGTTAGGCTCCCTGGCTGGGGACCGCGAGATCATGGTTACCTATGGTTAGAAACACTGTGATGTGGCTGGGTGTCGCAAACAGTGGAGTTCATGCATCTACTAATTATTCCTGTAACTTCAGTCTACATGAATTCTCAATCTTACGCTTGATTTTTTTTCACCAGTCTTTTCTTCATTCTGCTGTTTGATCCGAATGGGCAACCACTAGAGAGCAACCGAAACCGGCACACGATAGTGCATGGTTAACGGTTGTAAGAACGGAACGGAACGTATGTAAAATGTGATGGATAATTCTGGCTACCATCATTCAAAATCTCAACCATTCTATTTGCCTAACGGAAATGGGGTACCCGTTCTGTTTGGTAATTGTTCCTCTGCTCCTCGATGAGAATTATGATAGATTGAGCTGATTTGGTTTGTTTCAACTGTAGAGCAGACGAATGGATTTGATACTTATGCTCCTCAATATGTTACAGATCAACGCGGAAATATAGCAGTCTGACAGAATCGCATCCCGATAGATTTAGTGCATAATCAGTGCTGGTTGTTTCAAACCAAGATGAACTAGTTGCACAACACTTTCAAGAGAGTGTCATTTTGACGAATGTACTCTTAAAATTGAATGTGTAATGCCATTTGGATACGGAGTACCAACCATATCGTTCGAGCGCCCAAGAGTCTCGTAAAAGATTCCCTATTGTTTACCTACCAGAATGAGATAAGATCAAGCTAGTGTCTTTAACCATCCCAAAAGAGTGAGTTATGCAGTCAACTGATTCCCCTATCTACCATTTTGCGGCCAACTATATAGAATCTATAATAGATTAACACAAAATTAAAAAATTAAAAATTAGGGTCCATTTTGAATGAGGCACAGAAGATTACACGGTACTGTGTTTTTGACCTAGGGAATGGGAAGTGGAATTTTGTAAAGATGATATTTGCACTAGAGAGAAACATCGGTGAAATGACTTCGGTTGTGAGGTCTGACCACTTTGAGTCGTAATCACGGAGAAGCCTCCCAGCTCTATGTATGTATTATTCAACCAGATTACCGGGTTCACAAATTAGTTAGTTAGCATCAAAGGACCACGATGCAAGAAGTTTGTTGACTGAGATTCGATGTGATTCTGTTCGGGTCAAGAACTGAATGCTTTGTGTCTTCTGCCAGCCTCTGTAGTATACATTATTCAAT